CCGTCCGTTTGCAGGTGCGCAGCGGAAGACATCGCCAGCTTAGTGTTAAAGTGATGCGCTAAGGATGACCAGAACGTCGAAAGAAAACGAGGATCCCGGTTGCTGACTATAACTGCGGGTAACCCCACATGTTTAATCACATGGCGCCATAATAAGTCTGCGGCGCCCGTCGCGTCTGTGGTAGAAGAGCATGGGATAAAGTGCCCATATTTCGTGAACTTGTCCACCACTACCAAGATGGCGTCTGGCTGCGTGGTTCCTTTAGGAGGGGGTAATCCAGTCACGAAATCTAAGGTTATCGTGTGGTAAGGCAAGTCTGGGACAGGCAAGGGTATCAGCAGACCCGGCGTTTTGCCTCTGTCATGCTTGATCTTCTGGCAGACGTCACAAGTTTCCACATATTGTCGAGCATCCTTTCCAAGGTCCTTCCAATAACACTTAGATTTCAGGCGCTTTAGCGTTCTTTCTATACCCGCGTGGGCGGCCTCGTGAGGGGTGTCGTGAATTTCCTTGAGGATCGTGGTCCTCAGACTTCTCGGGACACATAGGCGTCGGTTGGTTTGCGGGTCGTCCCAAAGTAGTAACCCTTCCTCCGACACTTGGTAGGCACCTCCTGCTACACCGCCGTCAAGAGTTTTGCGGTATATGTCCCCGAATTCTTCGTCTGTGTAGTAGGCCAGACGGAATTCCTCGGCTGTTCTCGGGGCTAAACCCAACCATAAACTTGTCGTGCTCTTTTCCGCTTGATCTTCGTCTACGATGTCCATGCTATGCGATAGTATTGGTGGGATTCTCTTCAGAAGCTTGTTAGGCACTGAAGGACTCATCACACTTTGCATTGATGGTTTGATGGATGAAGATTTAGGGACTGGTACTATGCCGTCCCTTTTGTAGGATTTTACTGCATCATCCACAAGCTCAGCCACTATCTGCTCATCAGATGGCAGTTTGTCCACTTGCTGAGCAGATGCTAGTTTAATGGAGCAATTTTCGTCCGTGGGGTCCACGAACGTCATAGCACTGACGAACATGTCGGCATCCACCTCTACGTACTCTTCCTCTGCCTCAGCGAGGAGGTTGGGGTCGTATGGGTCATCCACAAGTTTATGTCAGGGCACACCTGCCTGACCCGCCTCCACCTGGGCCCACCTCACCTGGTACCCCTTCTCTCACCCTGCACCCCTCCTTCATATCCCTTCCCCCTCTATCCCTCTTCCACTTCTATTTCTATTCCTATTTCTATTTCTATTTCACACGGACGATCTTTCCCTTATATCTATGTATTATTGACCCACCCACGATGTGCACACGACATGGCTAGCCCCGGACGACCCCGGATGGCTCTAGGGCGCAACCCAGTGTGTGCACGTGCAGCATACGCCCTCAGGATCCCCCATGGGGACACCCGGGTGACCACAGCTGTATGCAGGGTGACGTGGCGGACCCCATGTGACCCAAGCCGCATGTATATAAACACACCTGGGGTGGGAACCGAAGAAGTAACCTTCTTCTCAACATTCCCACTTCAGGTAAGTAGCATAGTTTCCCTTTTTAATAATAACCCAACATTCCCACTTCAGTCTAAGTGGCCAGGGATCGCTGTCCCGCATCGGGCCTGCCAGTACGCACGCCTGATCTACCCCCCATGAGGTCCTTAGCACCGGACGCTACGCCCGGACCACCTCGACCCCGGACACGTCCCTGACAGTTTATCATCGAACGCCTCATTGTCAGCCATGTAGTCCTGCACCTCTGCAGGATCTTCAACACCTTCTGGTTCTTCTACAGGCTCCGAGTCCTGTAGGTCTTGCTTGTCAGACTCAACGGCTATGTTGTACATGCACGGTTTGGGCTTGTCGTGATTTGGGCAATCACGTTGATACCCTACTTTCCCGCATTTATAACAACGCGGTTTCCCATCCTTATCCAAGGATGGCATCAATTTCGTCATTGTAGACGATGTCGACTTTTCTGTTTTTGGAGCTGGCGAATAGCTCGCATGGAAGGTCAAGCGTTGCCTGCTCTTCTGAGTTGACGTGTTTCCCCTGAAGGTGTTTTTATACACTTTCTTGGCGGACGAGGAGTCAGCAGCCCTTTTGGGTGCTGCTGCAGTATTGGTGTTTTGTTTTTGCGTCGTTTTTGACATGGTTGGCACCTGCGAGTCATTACGATATGCAGAGATCGCCTTCATTGAATCGTATGCGTGGTCCAGGCGGAGCATAGCAGTCCACAACTCGTCTTTCGTTGTGTAGTCCACGGAAATTTTGTGGCGCATAACCATCTCCCAATGCATTTCGCCAGGGATGGCGTTCAAATGTTGCCTGGTCAGGAGGTGTGATCATCTCCTCAGCTGCACAATACAGCTGATTATAGAAGTGTTTGATTCCCTTCGTGGAATCGTATGAAAGCGTTTTGAACGCTTTCGTGGACGCTACTGCTGCAGACTTCTTGATGAAGGTGCAGATAAGGATCTCCAGTAGATCCCAGAATGGGGGAGTTACCCCGTTCTGCACTCCAATGTGTATATAGTGCATTAGGAGGTCTTGCACCTCACCTTCAATGGTGGTTGTCAAAGTGTGGATGTGAAACTTGTTATAAGCTTCACCCTTCCACCCACACGATGACATATAGGCTAGCCAGGAGTGCAGCCAGTTGTGGAATATCTTTGAGTTATTTTCTCCAGACCATTTGATGGTCGGAGTTAGTCCCTGCATCTTTTTGAGCAGTTCTGGATGGACATCTGCAGGCAGTGCAGGATCTGAACTTCTACACTTCGGCATGCAGATTCAAGAAGCTGAGCCATGAACTCAGATGGATCAGGCACTACTTGTGCTGCAGGTGCTGCATATGAACGCATGGTTGAGTCAAACAAACCGGGTCGTACAGACGAGTGGTTTGGAAAGTTGGATGAAGGCTCCCGTTTTATCTCGGTGCCAAATGGATCAAGGAATGGTGCGTTGGGCCAGGACGAGCCACCCTCGCCACCATCCCCACTTGGACGGCAGGGCCTTCTTCCTGAGTTAGACCTAACTTAGTCTACACACCTTCTGGAGCCGCAGGCGGTTGTGAGAAACAGTGGTAATTATCCAGCACCTGTCTGAGTGCTGTGCCATGGGACAGTCTATCGGGGTTTTCACCGTTTGCCCCACGACCCACGTTGTATACGAATGCCGCATCTGTATCCAGACAGGCGTTAAAGTCGAAAGTGGATTTGCTGAGACTACGCTCAGTGAAGATTGGTCTGACCTTGGCAGGCTGTCCGCCAATGTCATCTACACGATCCTGATGTAGATCGGGCATTTTTTCCATGTGTGATAATCATACGGAATACTGATGACTTCTGTGTCACCATCCTCCTCCTGTATCATGGCCTTCATTGGCACTGTTTTCTTTCTCCCATGGTCAGGAGGGAAATCATGCGTTTGAGTAGCGTCAACACATGGTATTTTCACCCCACCATTTGTGGGTTGCGATGACATAATGAATGGCGCAGGCACGAAGCCTGGCCTGAAATGGAGTGGAGAAGTTCCACTCTCCCCTGCAGTGGACAATCCAGCCAGTTGTCCTGGGTCGATCTCCCTACCTTTCCCCTTGGCATCAGTGGTTACTGGCGCCATTGACGGGGTAGGTGGCTTAGTTCCACTAAAGATGGGAACAAATCATCCGTCAGGTTCTTGTACCTTGACAGACAGGCATGAACTTGTCACCTCTGTGACGACAGCAGTGACAGTGGGGATCCCTTCAGGTACTGGGACCCCAATGATTGGTTGACCCATTTGATTAACGGGGACTACAGGGACCTCTTGGGGCACTTGCGCCTCAACAGCGGGTTTAATGATTGGTTGACCTGTTTGATTAACGGGGACTACAGGGACCTCTTGGGGCGCCTGCACCTCAACAGCAGGTTTTTTCATCTGCTCAGAGACGATGATAGGGTCCCCACCAGTTGATGGGTTCGCAGGAGGGTTGCAGGTGGGTTATCCACCATTGCTGCAGGTGGCTTTGGCTCGTTGCGTCGAGAGAGCACGAGGAGAATTTCGTTTAATTTCTCATTAAGTCTTTCTTTTTCTTCCACCTTAATGATGTTGCAATCTAAACGAGCGATGTTATCGCTATTCCCAGAGATTTGGGTATTCATGTTATGGACATCACCCCTCAAGTCAGCGATGTCGTCATCGACTTGGTCGAAACAATTTCTTAGTACTCGCACCGTTTCAGATGCAAGGGAGTGGGTTGGGGATGGAGGACGCAATGTACGCATTGGGACGTATGCCGTGAGAGTCTCAGCTGCAAGGGCTTCAGACGTTGTGACTTGGTCAACGTCCCTCATATAGGTGAGATGCATCTGAGATGCGTTGCTGGGCCCTTGCAGGCCCAGATCACCACCATCACTTGAGGTGGTGTCGTCTTCCACCCTATGGCCAGTGGAGGGGCCGGCTGTGTTGGCGGGAGCATTAGACGTGCTCCTGGTGTTGTATCTCCACGACATCAAGAAGATGTGTCGAGTTGTTTAACAAGTTCGTGTGAGAACTTGATCAAAGTTGCGCATTGTCAGGGGCCAACGACGCGTGCATTGCCAAATGGGGTTTCGGCACCGGTAATGTGGTGCTGAGAATGGAAAAGAAAATATAGCGTAAAAAAGTGAAAGGTTATCTTACTTGTTTTGGGGACGGTACATTCTGTTCCCCTGTTCGCCTCAGGCCTCAGTTGGTCTGTCTAAGTATATGCTTTGATGGGCTGTATATTAACGAAGTAAAGGCTGATCCACCTTTTACAGCTACCCCGAGGGTTTATATACAATCTAATGCATTCTCGGCACAAATAAATAGAGAAGCTTCCGCGATGCTAAATTAGCATCGCGACATAATTATTAGACAACACAACATCAACTGATGTTGTGGGCGGAATATAGACATGGGCTGGGGCCTCACACACCCACAAAGTTCCATGCTAAAGTCAAGCATGAACTGAAAGCTTGTAGGCGTTGGGTAGATCTTACCATGGCTCCTCCTATGGCCAATGTTGTGTTGACAGTCAAGGAGTTGCTTAAGCATGACTTGTACCATGCTGATGATTCAGAAGAAGACTTCGATTCTGAGTCGGACTCTGATGACTCCCACTATTCTTCCAATTCTGATTCTGATTCGGACTCCAATGGATCCTCTGACTCAGAAGAAGAATCAACCCCATCACATCGCAAAAGTTCAAAGTCCTCAAAGAAGAAACCTCACAAGGAATCCAGGTGTAGATCTTCAGAGGCGCAAGATGAAGTCAAGACAACTACAGTCACTAAGTCAGAATCCAAAGCTGAGACTAAGGACTCTGTTCTTCTGGCCACTGTAGAGGATTTGACAGACAGGCTTAGTCAGCTGACAATTGAGATGGCCAACTTAGCTGAGAAGTGTAGATATCCCCAAGTGTATACAGGATGATGCTTCATGTGCACTTCAGAGGGACATAGTTTTAGAGACTGCCCTGAGACCAAGGCTTTTATCACAGCCGGTGTACTTAGGTTTGACACAGTGACTAAAAGACTTGTCATGGCAGATGGTACCAATCTACCACACTCTACTTCCGGCAACGCCATAGCCCAACTGATCCATAAACAAGCCAGTATGTGGCCTACAGCAGCCAACCTTGAGTGGATGCATGAGTACGAACTTGCCAATCAAGAGTTTGCAACTCTTGATGAAGGAGAGTTTGAGGTCTATCCAGCTTATGCTTATCCTGCTGAACACAGAGAAAGTGAGAAGCCAAGAGCATCCAAAGCTAAGCCATATGATTGGCCTCCATCGCCAATGAGATGCACAATTCCTCCAGAAGAGCTGAACCCACCTAATCGCATGTACGTTGAGATACCTGCACCTCCAAAGATTTTGAAGTGGCCTCAACAAGTGGTAGAGGATGTTCCAATGTCTGATGGAGAAACTGCCCCCAAGGATAAGGGCAAGCAAAAAGCCAGGACTTCAACACCCCAAGTTCCTCATACTGGGGAGAAGTCCGTCAAGGCCAATGCACCTTGAAGCAAGGTGACTGTTAGATACGGCAGGTTTGGACGACTCCGGAATGGAATCAGAGACTTACTGTGGAAGGACCTCGGCCTCAGTGACTCAGGCGGAGCACTGTGCCATTGCTGGTTGTCCTGGGGGTCCCTAATTTCGGATCTAGCAGAGGGGAAGTCTCTTAGGGGGGAATCAAGTCGATTTCGAACTGAGGTTACAAGTTACTAGGTACATTGTATATAAGGAGGGGTCTGGAATCAAAAAGAACAAGGGTAGGATGAAAGGAGACAAAGGGAGCTAGAAAGAGGAGCGACACCGAGGGTCAAGGGTTTGACTCAATGGTGTTTCTCAATGGAGGAGTGAAGGGCCAGGCCCAAGGAGGAAGGAAGGAGGATGGGAGCCGGGAATGGCTAGCTGACTGAATAGAAAGGAAGCAGCAGCCCAAATAGGAATGAGGGAGAATAGCGGAATTGAATGGGACAATGCAATAGTTGCAAGGTCCGAAGTAAGTCCAGAAAGTCCGAACTCAGAAGTAAAACTCCAGAATATTGGCAAAGGTAAATAAATGGAATTGGCTAACCAATACAATGGGTATAAGTGGAGGTGGGGTCAAAGTTCGAGGTCGGAGCTAAGACCGGAGGTTCTGGAGATGGAGATGCAAACAGGATTCTGGAGTGGAGGTCCAGAGTTGGGAGCATAGGTGTTGCATGCTCATCTGGAAGGTGTCAAGGTTGAGGTCAAACCCGGAATGTTCCCGAGTCGGACTGAAAGTGGTGTCGGAGCCAGAGGTGGGATAACCTCTTGGGAGTCAGCAAGGAGAAGGTGATGGAAGGGAAGTGGGGCTCCGGAGTCAGTTTTGGAGTTCCAGGAGCCCAGAGTGGAGGTTGGGATTGTATGGATATGACAGTGACCTTTAAAGATATTCAAGTTCAAGATTTGCCCAAGGCCCCAATGAATAAGCAGAGCTTCAAGAAAGGTTGAACTCTGAGGACATCTTTGAGAAACTCATGTCTCAAGAAATCACCCTGCCCTTGGGCACGGTACTCAGTTCCTCATTCGAGTTGAACAAACATGTACAATCAGCCACTAAAGTGCAACATATTCCCTTGGCTAGGAAAGTTGAGACAGCTGCATTGAGTGTTGAACCAGAGAAACCCTACTCGGAAAGCACTGAAGTCTATGAGCCTGAGCACACTTTTGAAGTTGCTCTTCTCGAGCCTGATTACAAGCCTGATGACTCAGAAAGCATAGTATCCACAGTCATGGATGACAAGGCTGAAGACTTCTACCATCAACTGCTTGAAGCAGAGCATCTATGTGAGTACGGATACTTAAACCGACAATCCTATAGCCTAGCTAGGCATCCATCATACCTAGCAATGGTCACAGCAAAGATTCAAGGACACATTTTTGGTCGCCCATGCACAATGTTAATTGACACAGGGAGTGAACTAAACATCATGACCAGCGAACAAGCCTATGCCTTAGAACTTCCTGTTGACCCAACCAGAGCTATGTGGTCACTCAGAGGTGTTGCAGGTCATCAAGATCCCTTAGAAGGTCTTTGCAGGAATGTACCTGTAACTATCAGAGGTGTGGAAGTTCTGCACAACTTCTTTATTTGAGCACCTAAACAGTAAAGACATAATCCTAGGCCAACCCTGGCTGTATGGACATAGCACATATCGAATACATGCATGATGTGGGCATGACTATTCAGGTTTGGGGTGAGGGGGACCATGACAATGGCACCTCCATCTGAATCAAGTTACCCATCATGACTGCAAAGAGGAATGTCTATCCTATATCCACATTGCAAGCAGGAAATCGACTATGGGACCAGAAAACAGAGGGTAGCGCTCCAGCTCACTCCCCAAGAGCTAGGGGAGAAAGAGAAAGGGGGCTGAGAGGGGGGGAATTTTGGGGATATATATATAACTCTGGAAACTCTTGCTTATCTTCTTTCTGTGGTGGATTTCCCTAAAGGTCACAATAGCCCTTTACCAATCATGTGGCCACTCACAGTACCCAAGTACATGGACTTCAAAAAGTAGCGGGAGGGGGGGAAATCACCTATTCCGTTTCAATTGCTATGTACATATACCCATACAGCAAACATACAATTCGTGAAAAGAGTCCGAAATATATGGGTTTGGCTGAGCTAAGCCTCCACCAACAATGGCAGTAAGGTTTGGCTGCCATTGGCTTAGAATAAAATTCCAAACAACAAAAGAAATTGAAAAGGAAAAACACAAACTTCCTCATACCACTCCAAACACTGCATCAAACCTCCGTCCCTTTATTCCATCCGACTCTCCTTATCCATAGCTTTCTAACGATACCGATTTTGTGAGATTTGGTGGAGATTTGACTGAGAACGGGAATTCTCAGATGCAGTATACATATCTTCATTATCCATGCACAGGGAAACTTGGTCCAAATAAAATGCCATAATTCCTAGACTCCTCCAATGACTTCTTCAGCATTTATATCATTTGACTAGCCCATATTTTTATTGAGACTAGCTTGCATGTGAGCATCCAAACAGTTCATATCATCCCATGACTCCCATCATGCCTGACAATCAGAATATCTCCACAACCACTGAACCGATTAGGGTGAAATTCAACACTGAGTCTTTGGGCATTTTTTTGGATTTTATGAGCCCCAAGATCGTCCTCTTCCATCAACCTTTGACCTTGTTCCCATGGTCACAGTCAAGTGCATGGACTTCGCACATGAGGACATTTCAGGTTAAATTTCTCCACCAAATCTCAACCAATTCCTTCGCGGAAAGGCTCTTTCGGTTCGTACGAAAACCCTCTTTCTTCTTTCTTATTACTCCCTCCTACGATTCCTTTTTCCTAATAATGTACAAGGGTGGGAGCCCAATTTCGACATATTTGCTGTGTAAGGTTCCATGAAATTGAGCACACCCGTTATGCCCTCCTACAATGTACAAGCATGCCGAAGCGGCACCAGTCACTTTAGACATTCATACTGTTGAGCCAGGCACAAGCTCAAAGGCACTAGAGATGCCCCAATTTTTGAGGCAGATCACCTCAGCATTGACCACACCAGAGCAAAAACTAAAAGAGTTAAGGCAATGGCCTAGAATATGCTCTAATATCCCATGAGATGAAAGATCCCGCTGTGCTGAAAGCACTCAGAGACTCATGGTCGCCACTGACATTAGTATCAGTGATTGCATTGAAGCCATTGGCATCACCAAAGGATTTCATATCAACGAGGCTAAAAGCCTATCTAGACAGTTCATGCACAAAGTAATGGGTGCCCGATACAAGCCAGTTGGCAAGAAAGTCATTCCCATCTCTGCATATGATGCAGATGCAGTAGACCTGCATACACTCCCATTGAGACTGGGGACCTTTCACCATTACCTACTCACCCACCAGAGTTTGCAAGTAACAAGTTTACATCCAGACTCTCCGAGGAGAGGGTGGCTGCCATTATTTCACATATGGCTCCTCAATTCCTCACAAAGACAGAGGTTGACCTACTAGTGCACATCCTCTTGAAATATGAGAAGGCTATTGCTTTCACAGATGCTGAGTGTGGTACTTTCAACAAGAAATACTACCCAGATTATGTTATGCACACAATTGCTTATGAGCCCTGGCAGATCAAGCCACTTCAACTGCCTCAGGCAAGGACAGAAGAAATCATGTCAATGCTCAAGGAACAGATGGACGCGGGGAAATACGAGCCTTCCCAGTCATCATATAGAGCTAGATTCTTTGCTGTCGAGAAGAAGGACAGGTCTCTTCACATAGTACATGATCTACAACCGCTCAACGCAGTGTCTATCAGAGACTCTGCCCCATTACCCAGAATCGATGAAATGCTTGATTCTTTTGCTGGCACTGCCATATATGGCATCTTTGACCTGAAAAGCGGCTTTGATAGCTGTACTTTGGCCCCAGCATCGAGAGATCTCACTACATTTGGGGCTGGTCACATGGGATCCTTGCACCAGACTATGTTACCCCAAGGTTACACTTCCCCAATAGAGTTCCAACAAAGAACTACACACATGGTTGGGCCTATGATTCCCCGCAAGGCTGATGTCTTCATTGATGACTGTGCTCTCAAAGGCCCGAAAACCTATTATGAGTATGAGAGTCTACCAGAAAACCTGCAAATCCGACGCTTTGTATGGGAATATGCCCACAACCTTCAAGAATTGTTTGCCAGAATTCTTGAGAGTGGTGCAACAGTGTTGGGAACCAAAATGGTTCTTGCAACACCTTGCTTGTCCATGCTAGGAGCTGTAGTGTCCATAGACAGAATGCACATCTCGCATGAACTGAATGCCAAGATATCCAAATGGCCATCCTGTAGAAATCCCTCAGAAGTACGAGGATTTTCTGTTCAGCCTGGGGGTACTCCAATAAACCATTGCAATGACCTAGGTAGTTTGTAAATTACATAACATTACCAAAAATGGAAATATTGCTTACATAATTGGCAGATCTTTAGCTGAGATACTTTTCCATGTTCTAAATATTCTTCTGAAATTTTAGAATACATTTTCATTGTGCTATAAGGTCATGAGTTGACAAGTGAAAAACATTGCAACAGTTTATTGGAGAACTGTAGTACACTGCTGGATTAAGGATTTTGCCAAAATCGCCAAACCCCTCACACAGCTAACCAAGAAAATGGCACCCCACAAGTTCAAGTGGACACCAGAAGCTGAAGAGGCAATGGCTATCTTAAAGGATTTAGCTTAAATGCATCACCCATCTGATCGCTAGATTTCAGTTGGCTGCCCAAGTAATGCCAAAGAACCAGCGAGAGAGCAACTTAGGTTTAGTTGCCATCCAAGCCGACTCGTCCATTATTGGCATGGGCTGGGTTATTAATCAAACCTATGAAGATGGGGTATGTCCCATAGTCTTCAGCTCAATCACGTTCAATGCAGTGGAGAGCCGTCAGCCTAAGCTAGAGCTATATGGAGTTCTATGAGCCTTTAAGGCAGAGAAGCACCATTTATACAA